AGTTCCGCTCAAAAGGTTTCAGAAAATGCTGGGGCTGATGGCCTCAGCGGCCTCTGTACTCCAGTTGGGCTTGCTGCGCATGCGCCCACTGCAGATGTGGCTGAAAGCGCGGGTTCCACCCAGGGCATGGACAGCGGGTCTGTTTCGCCTCAGGGTCGACCTTCAGTGTGTTTCAGCTCTGGAGCCTTGGAAAATAACCGACTGGTATCAGTCAGGTGTGAGTCTGGGGACCGCTTCGAGTGTGAAGGTGGTGTCTACGGACGCCTCCACCTCGGGGTGGGGAGCGCTGCTCGAGGGCAGACCGCTAGCTGGCCTGTGGTCAGAACGGGAAAAGCTCCTTCACATAAACTGCTTGGAGATGATAGCAGTCGACAAAGCGCTACGGCGTTTTGTCCCCAGGTAACAGGCCACCACGTCTTGGTCCGGTCGGACAACATGTCAGTGGTGGCATACATAAATCGCCAGGGCGGCGTCAGGTCACGAAACCTTCACAAGCTGACGGAACGCCTCCTGGTCTGGGCTCAGCACAACCTGCTCTCACTGAGAGCAGCGCACGTGCCTGGTCACCTGAATGTGGGACCAGACAGACTGTCCAGGAACAATGTTCCAGCAGGGGAATGGTCGCTGCACCCGCAGACGGTCCAGCTGCAGTGGAAAACGTTCGGCAGAGCACAGGTGGACCTATTCGCGTCCCACGAAAACGCTCATTGCCCGGAGTTTTTCTCGAAAAGCAAGGACGCGCTGGCTCATGTTTGGCCCAGCTGCCCCCTATATGCTTTTCCTCCTGTCTCGCTCCTGCCTCAGGTGTTGGAACGAATCAGGGAGAACGGATGCCCAGTGCTGCTCGTAGCTCCGCTCTGGACAAACCAGACGTGGTTCCCTGCCCTGATGCAGCTGACCAGCACTGCCCCCTGGCCTGTACCATTGAGGAGAGACCTCCTCTCTCAGGCGGAGGGCTCGATTTGGCACCCTCGCCCGGAGTTGTGGTCCCTGCACGCATGGGCCATCAACGGGTACCCGCTAGCCTCCCAGAAGGAGTGTTAAACACGATCGCGCAGGCTAGAGCTCCGTCTACCAGGCGGCTCTACTCCTCGAAATGGTCTGTTTTCTCTGCATGGTGTCAAGCCCAGAGCTTTTCACCTGTGGAATGCGGGGTTTCGGAAGTGCTTTCCTTCCTTCAAGAGCTACTGGATAAGGGCAGGACCCCATCCACGCTCAAAGTATATGTGGCGGCCATAGCAACGTTTGCAAAACCGGTGTTTGGCCAGTCGCTGGGGAAAAACGACTTAGTCGTGCGTTTCCTTAGGGGAGCTCGGAGGCTGAACCCTCCCAGGCCCCCTTCAGTCCCGACGTGGGACCTTTTCACGGTCCTGGAGGCCATGAAAGGCGCCCCGTTCGAGCCAATCCAGCTGGTGGACATGAAACACCTGTCGTTCAAAACAGTGTTTCTCATGGCTCTCGCTTCAGTGAAGCGCATAGGGGACTTACAGGCGCTTTCAGTAAGCGCGTCGTGTATGGAGTTTGGGCCTAATGACTCGAAGGTCATTCTCAAACCAAAGCACGGGTATGTCCCGAAATCCCTCAATACACCGTTCAGGGCCCAGGTAATTTCCCTGTCCGCCCTTCCGGTTCTCAGTGAGGAGGAGGATGCGAGTCTCCTTTGCCCCATCAGGGCATTGAGAGCTTATGTGTCACGCTCGTCTGTTTTCAGACAGACGGAGCAGCTTTTTGTTTTGTTTGGCGGGCGTTCCAAGGGACTCGCCGCCTCAAAACAGAGCCTATCCAGATGGATAGTGGATGCCATTGCGCTCGCTTACACTGCGAAGGGCCTACAGTGCCCCTTGGGTGTCAGGGCGCACTCCACGAGAGGCGTGGCCTCTTCGTGGGCATGGTCGAGCGGGGTTTCCCTGCAAGATATCTGTACGGCCGCGGGCTGGGCCTCGCCGTCTACATTTATAAAAATACTATAACCTGGAGGTACCCGCCTTACAAGCTAAGCTTTTGGCGGTCTAAAATTCAGTGCGATCTGCCCCGCTGTGCGGCCCAGATGCTGAGTTTACTGCAGCCCCATGAGTGTTGACACACGTATGGCCACCCAGATCAGGCTGAAAGCTTTCACCCTGGCTGCGCGTTTTATTGTCATATAATAGCCCCGCTGGGTGCTTTTTTATAGGGAATGACGCTTCCAGCCTCTCTTCCTCCACTCTATGTGAGTTTATGGTGATTATGCACTACATGAGCCCTGGGCTTCGGCCCCCGGGACTTTGGTGTTGGATCCCTGTACGCACGGCGTGTTGCATTGTGTTCCCCTAGCGTAAGCTATTACGCAGTACGAGAGATACTCTCGTAAGAGAACGTACTCGGTTACTAACGTAACCTCGGTTCTCTCTAGAGAGGGAACGAGTACTGCGTATCTTGCCGTGCTTGGAATACGCTCTGGTTCGCTTCAGTGATAAAAACCAGCTTGTATCAGCCTAACGAGCATATTTATAGGGTGAGACCACGCCCCTTCTGGCGGGACGTGACGATATGGGCGCGAATTGCCCCCATTGGTCATTACGTCACGCAGAGTCTCTCTCGATAGGCTGCTGCATTTGCTGCAGAGCAACCAATAGGCGCGCGAGCTGTTTCGCCTATGTCTGCTTGCTGCTGCAAAGCGTTTTACATTAATAAAAAATTAAGGATAATTTTTGGCTTCAATATCTCGCGGAAAAGAGTTTTTCCCCTAGCGTAAGCTATTACGCAGTACTCGTTCCCTCTCTAGAGAGAACCGAGGTTACGTTAGTAACCGAGTACGTTTTCCATGGAAACACTTCTTTTGTTTGAATATTAGCATGCTATTAGATCTTGCTAAACAGGATACAAACTTCAGCTCAGAAAACTTAAGGTGCAGGGCATAAATATGCTTTAGTTAGGAGGACTGTCAATCAATAAAAACAATGAATTGAATAAATTACATGATATCTTGACTAGTTATGTTATGTTATGTTATGTTATGTTATGTTATGTTATGTTATGTTATGTTCTGGCTTCTGAAAAGAATACCTAAACACCCATCACGTCGGCATAAAAGATTGCATCAGAGCAAGACAATCCTCCTGCTTGCTTTTGGATCCTCAGGTGGCTGAAATGACCAGTTGGGTGGGTCGGCTATAGTTCAGTCAGAGCAGGCTACAGGTCTGAGCCAAATGAAGATGTGTAACACACTTGCAAACTGGATTAAGATGGCCTCATGTTGTCATCAGCATTTCTGTTAACGCTGAAATAGTCCAGAGCATGGCATGCCACTAGAACCGTGCTGTCAGGAGAAAATAGGGGATCATATCCTTCTGGCGCCAGGCCACATGAGCCCGGCAGAAAGAAAATAAAGGGGCAGCCACTGCTTAGCGTAAAATAATGGGTTTTAAGTGCCTCTCATCTGCGAGGCCCAGATAAATAGCCATTGAAAGAGAAACTTAAGTCAGCCCTGCTGAGGGAAGTTATTGCTGTATCCTTTAAATATTAGACTTTATAGCTTCATGATTGGGCTTTATATTTTATCTACAGGTCTCACATCTTTTGGGTCTTTTATTAGATTTGTATCACACACGCATGTTAGCGTGCAAGCCCGAGTCGGTTATCTTGGAACCCCAATGTAACAAAGCTTTTAAAGCAAAGCTAATCATACCGCTTGAAATAACACTTTCATATTTATATGCGAGTGTATTCTGGAAGCTACTGGCTGAATACAGTACTGTAATAAGAAACTGCATTACAGTATCATAAATGTCATCAATTTGCTTTACATCAACAGTAAAGGCCATCACAAAGACATCATGGCACAAGGGTAGAAACCTGACTTCACAGAATAAGGAACCATCTAAAGCAAACTGAATCCACAGAAGTTATGCAAAAGTAATCTTTGGCCCTATTTACACCTGGAATTAAGATGTGTTTCAGTCGATTGGGTCACAAGTAGACGAGGGAGATGACGGAAAGATGACAGAAAAACATACAGAGAGCATCAGCTTTCGGTTCTGTCCTGACAGCCGCAAGACCAGCCGAACGCTGAGTGTGTGTTAGAAATCAGGAATGGTGAGAGAACATTGTGCTTGGTATGTTTTCGTCTTCAAACCAAACTTGGATCTCGAGCCAACAAAGTTTAAATCCGTCTGGCTATCGCTTCCCATAATGTTTACTCATTAGGTCAGTAGGCGGAGAGTAGACCGTCTTTTGAGGCTGTTCGAATGCATTCGATCACATGAGCGACTACACTACAAAATCAATCCAGTCAAATGCGTTTTCGACTAGCCTACCGCTGAAGTGGTCGAAAGTGGACAAGCTCAAAACATTTTAGACCCCGTTTACACCAGTATTTAGCGTCACATGTTTCTAGGCCTACATGTGTCATCAAATCTGACCTGGACCAGAAGGCCCAGTAGCAGCTTTATTTCATCAGGCTGCTAAGGAAGGCTGGACTCAGTTGCCACCCCATCACCCAGGCCTATAGAGGACTTGTAGAGAGCATCCTCACAAACGACATCACTGTCTGGTTCGGGAGCACCACAGAAAGGAAGGCTCTCCATAAGGTTACTGGATCTGATCTCCCACCCATGGACACTCTATACACAATGTTGTAGGGAAAAAAAGCACAAAGGAACCTCAGGGATACATATTACATACCATCCAGCTCACTCTCTGTTCAGGCATAAACACTTAATACACTAGACCAGACAGTCTCATTACACATAAAACACGTTTTTATAACGGTTACTTTCCAGCCACAGTCAGACTGATGGCAAAAGACTTAACAGAGGAGTAAAATCGCTCACTGCAAGATCACAAGGATTTAAAGGAATAGTTCACTTAAAAATAAAAATCTGTCATCATTTACTCACCCTCAAGTTGTTTCAAACCTGTATGAATTTCTTTCTTCTGCTGAACACAAAGGAAGATATTTTGAAGAATATCAGTAACCAGACAGTTGATGGACCCCATTGACTTCCATAGTAGGAAAAAAAATACTATAGAAGTCAATGGGGCACATCAACTATTTGGTTACCAACATTCTTCAAAATATCTTCCTTTGTGTTCAGCAGAAGAAAGAAATTCATACAGGTTTGAAACAACTTGAGGGTGAGTAAATGATGATAGAATTTTCATTTTTAAGTGAACTATTCCTTTAACTCTGTCATATAGAGACTTGCTGCTAAGGTTATTTTATGCTTAAAAGCTGTTTTATCTCAGTTTTGATATTCATATAATGTATTGTCTCAGGAGAAAGTGAACTGCAAGATCTAAGATAAAAACTAAATTAACACTTAAGATTTAAAGTATGTACACTATACAAGTGCATATGCACACTTCTTTTTCACAGGGCACACACAGAGTTTCACAGATTTGGGTTTGAAATAAAGAAAACTGGCTTTCCAAAAGTGCAACTTGACAATGATTACAAACCTTCCTTTTTCCCCATCTACTGTGCGCACCATACTCACAGAAATCTGGCATGTAGGCACACTAACGATACACCGCTGTGTCAGTAAGCTAAACAGCGCCGCTTAAAAGCACACTAGCCTTACTGTTTTTCACTTTCTCTCCAATTTCCGAGATAGGTTTGTCACTGCTAACAAAGCTGCTCTTTAGTCACTTTTAAGTCTAATAACGTGTCAGACACCATATAGTAGTGCTTGTTGGTTGTCTCTGTGCCTAGCGGGCCGTGATTTATTTGAAGTCCCACTTCAAACAACGGCTAGCCTCTGGTGAAGCTAATATATGCAATGTCCAATGTCATTGTGATTTTTACAGATTGGAAATGAGAGCTGGCATTAGCGTTCTCCTGGCCGAAGAGCCCCGTTCGGCTGTAGCTAATGTTTTAGATTAACACTAAACCCAATTACCATTTCAGGCCAGAGAAATCAAAGAAAAGTGTAAAAATGCTCTCATTAGTCAGAGCATATGACATTGTTTAATCCTCATTAAAGACTCGGGGCCTCTTAGAGCTGTTAAAAAAAAAAAAATTATGGTAAGATGTACCGAGCCAGCCTAAGAAGCACACTTACCGCAGTATGTCACAAATCTCTATGAGTTTATTCACCGCTGAAGACCAGCTGCCGTAATAGGAAATGAGAGGGCACCGAACATCGAACAGCACTCAAAACACTCAATTGTCTTTTTATGAGGTTCAAAAGGCCTTTGAAATTATTAAACGTCACTTTTAATGAGTTCAACGGATCAGTGATGTGTGCATGTTGCAAACACAGACGGGCACACTCCTTCTGTTGTCGTACTTGCGGCCAAATTCGCCCCGTCTCTGCCAGCGAATCCCACTCTAGTAGTCTCAAACTGCTTAATTAGATCTGCAATAAAAGTGCAAGCTGATCTTATTGATTTGATCTTGTTTAATAAATGTGATGGAGCTGATTGGAATAAATCAACCCAGGCTTTGATATGACGTTGCTTCTTGCATATATTGCAACACATTCAAAATGAAATTTCCAGTGAGTGTCGCTAAAAATGGAAAATGGACAGCATTTATATAGCGCATTTCACAGACCCAATGGCCACCAAAGTGCTTTAAATTTTGCCTCACATTCACCCATTCACGTACTCGTTCACTTTTATCCGAAAAAGACGAACCTGAATCTGGCAACTCTTGTTTAAAGGGACTCGTATCCAAGCACTCCTCATCACTATTGCAATGTGTACCAGTTGAGCTTCAGAGCAAGTTTACTACATCAAAAAATGCTGTGCATATGGAGCTGGTTATGTGATGCAAATGTCAAAATGTATTAGTTTACAAATCATGCATGGTAAAAGTGTTTTGGGGTCATAACATTTTGCAAGGAACTGAACTTGCCCCATAATCATAATGTATGAATAGGAGTTAAAGTTGTTGGTGTGTTACTGCCTCTAGTGTTCATTTCAGCTGGAAAATGCAGTGAATTGTATAGATACGTTTATGGAGGTTTGAAAACATGTAGCCTAGGTAGAGGCCCTTTTTTTTCAATGGACCCTTTTCACATTTCCAGGGTTCTCAGAAGCAGAAGTCATCATAGTTGGGTAAACCTCTATAGTAGTGAACAGAATATACAACAAATATATTTTTGTGTTCCCATATACTCCAAATGCAAACGAAAGAAACAAATCCATGATAACATTACTATTGGGGCTGCAGGATATTGAAAAAAACTAACATTGCGATATTTTGTTTTTCTGCGATATGAAAACAATTTCACCAGATAATTTAAATAAAGAATGAATCATTCTAGGGTAATTTGGGATAGTGCATCTGCATAGAAAATAATAAACAAATTACAAGCATAGATAAATAGAACAAAGATGCAAATAAAATAAGCAGTCCTTTATGTTTTTCAGGTCAATCTAACTGTACAGACATTGAATAATCAAATGTGAAATAATGCGTAGTCTTCACTGTATAAATTAAATATAATTAATTAGTTAACACAGTGTATCTTTGTTAAAGCTACCAAAGTTATTTTCTCTTTCTCTTTTGTTGTTTGATTAAAATTGGTGACAGACAGCAGCAGGAATATTAGGCTGCTGTCACTTTAAGACAAATGAACAGATCCTATATAATGATACAGATCCTTTTTATTTCTCTGTTGTTTACAACACATAACCGACTGTGTTTGAGAGGGTACTCGCCGAGATGGGCATTTTGACTCGATTTTGCGTGCACGTGTCCGTTCAAGCTCAAAAAGAAGGAGACCTGAATTTGGTGTTCACATGCTGTTTGTGCCAGTCTTCTTGCGCTTGATGTTTAAACTGAAAGTTTGTCATTTGCTTGTTTTTAAGTCCTGTCACTCTATGAGGGTTAAACTTTGCATTCATCAGAGAATCACAAGCGTTCCGAACCAGAACCGATCAACTATGATCCCTATAGATGACACCACACATCCTGTGATGTGACTATCCATGCTAAAACGATATATCGTGGAGCTCTAGTTTCTATGACTTTCCAAAAGAGGAAAAAAATGATGAGAGACTGATTACAGTGGACAGAAGAGAAAAATGTTTCAAATTAGCCTCAGCCGTTGACTTGCAAACACCCAAACAACAGTGTTAACTAGTTTTCTGTAATTGAATGCACAACCCAAAGTATAGTGTTATAAATGCATGTTAAATTTAAAAAAACATTGCTACGATGTTAATAACTGTGGAAACACATCATCACAGTCTGTGAAAAGGTTCCATGAGCCTATGTTGGAATGGCGTGAAACACATGGTCAGCGAGTATGGATGAGCGCCTCCGCTGTGAGGTGGCCAATCAATGCCACGCAATTCAAGTTCCGACAGGGCTCAGCAGGAGAGGAGGCGTAAGATCGTAGCATTGGAAATGACGGTTTTCACAAAACAGTCTGCATTCTCCACCTCGGAGGTCAGACCTGTGTCTTTGTCACAAAGCGAGCTATAAAAAGCAAGCAAACATAAGGCATCACGACCCCTTTCATTTCATCCGTCGCAGAAGCCTTAAGCACCTCGCAGTTTGTGTCCAATATCATCAGTATTTTCCCTCACCAAGGCCGCGCGCTTCCTGCCTCCAGAGTGCGGCGAGGGGGAGAGCGATTGTGTGCCTTGTGTGTGTGTGTGTTTTTGGAGTGGTGGGAGGACGGGGATGAGTCATAAGAGCAGACACGATCGCGGCAAGAAATGTAAAAGAACCCATCTGGAGGATCTTATGATCGCATATGCATATAAGTAGTTGAAATAGGCCGACTGAGAGCGTGTGATTGAGAAGCTCCCCCGGTCTGCTCGTAGCTGCGTGTGCGTGGCGTGATTGAAAGCTCACCGACAGGCAGCGCACACAGGCACCTTTAAATGATTGATTGTGCATCCAGACTAACAAGAGGACCTCGTCAGCGCTGCGTAAGCTTGGCTTTGATTGACAGCTTTCACACCACCTCACTCCCACCCTTGTCCACCCCTGCCTGCATGACCGTGACCACACCATTCATTACCTTTATGCTGCGAGTAGGCGGACTGGTTGCGATTAGAAGATGAGGAGAGACCGGTGTGCCGAATTCTGACCCCAGACAGATTATTGGTCCTCAATATAGGTAGGTTTAGGATTAGTGATTTTTATGTTTCATGTTTGGCAACAGTTCTACTAACCCTAATTGATGGAGTGTGTAGCTTTTTCATTTCTTAAACAACCGTGTAAGACACATCATGGCCATATTCCAGGATGACAATGTCTTGACCAAACATGTATGCACCTCTTGATGGAAATAAATGTCGTGGTGTTATTTCCATCAAGAGGTGCATGCATTTTTGGTCAAGATCTTGTATCGACAATGCAAGAGTCGAGCGCTCTGTAAAGTGTCCTCCAGCACATCCCAAAGACTTTCAATGAATTTAAGGTTGGGACTCAGAGGTGCCAATTCATGTGTGAAAATGATTCTTCATGCTCCCTCCCAACAGTCTGATTAATCTTGACATTGTGATCCTGGAATATGGTGTGTCTTCCTAGTTCCTACATGGTTGTTTAATAAATGAAAAGCTACACACTCCATTAATTAGGGTTAGAAGTACTGTTGCCAAACATATAACATGCAAGAAACATAATAATCCAATCATAGTCTCTTAAGCATTTGCCTATTTAAATTCAAACAACGACTGTTTTTTTTTTGTTTTGTTTTTTTGGCCGCGCAATGTACACTCATACACATTCTTCTGGGTCTTCCATCTTCATCCGATGATGACTTCTGTAATTTGTGGGTTCTTTAACTTCTTTGATGACTGTAGACCGATGCGGGATGCACATTGTCTTTTAAAGACATATAAAGGTTACTCCTGATTGTCTTAAAGGTGCTCTAAGCGATGTCACGCGTTTTTTAGGCCAAAACATTTTTTGTCACATACTGCAAACATCTCCTCACTAACCGCTGGCTGCCTGTCCCCTGAACACACTGTAAAAAAAACACGGTCTCTGCAGACAGCCCAGGCTCCACACACAGCAACAAAAACAAACTGCGGCGACCCGCTCCACGAAACATAACAAACTGTTCCAGCCAATGACCGACCAGAAGGGCTTGGGGGCGGGGTTTGGGGGGTTAGTGCGCGGATGAGGAAGGGGAGGGTCTATCTAGCCTCCG